TTAGGTGACGGATCCTATTTCAGTGAAAAAGCAGCACTTTGCGCAGTCGCGATCCTCAAGCTCGTTTGTCATGTGCGATACGTCACAATAGGCTTTCATATTCTGATTTTTGGCTCCACCTTCATCTGTGGTAAAGTCCTCTAACTTGGAGCTTGCAGCTCCTCAGGCACAGAGTCATTTCATTCAATCTTGGAAAATGGTTTTTGCCACCGTCCAGGCTTTCTAGGTATTTTGGACAGAACGCCCGTCTGCCCGTGACTCCAAACCGAATTGGGTTTCAGGTGACGGCCCTGTGATTATTGGCCCACTTCGAGTGTTGCCACGCGAATTCAGGCAATGTAACCTCTTCCCAGGCTATTTCTTCTTTGCACCATTGAGAGGTGCCTAATATTGCGAAGGTATCCCCAACAGAAACGTACCTATAATTTCAGAGTAGTTTGGCAGAGCAACAGTGATCAAGATTTAATTCAGCTACATCTTTGAAGTCCAATGTTTTCTGGTAAATGAAAATGCCGGATCTAAGTGAAAAAATGATGAATTTGTTGAGAGGAAAAGTTGACAGAATTATTGTCAAGGACAGGTCTAATATCTAGTCTATGAGTTTTCAATTCAAACGACTCTGTTTTTCCTTTTTCCGAAGAAGCATCGGCTTCATCTACGACCGCAGAATAGACGAATGATAAATTCCATATTTGATGAGAATGTCACAGTGTACTGAAATAAGCATTTTTCATTCCATTATTCTTGATGTCAACCATGGGATCAGAAAAAATATATGCGATTCCGGTCATCCAGTCACGGCATTGAAATGAGCTCAAAAAGTTATCGTTATAAGAGCGATGCTACGCCTTATTATGCGATCAATTGGCTCCATGGAAAATATGCCATGCTAAGTGCATTAGTGAAAACCAGTCTGCTGTTTTTTGCCTGTCATCATCATCACCTTGAGCCACTGACATAATCAAGACGACTCTGGTTTAAGATGTCCGCTGCATTCACAGCTTTTCAACACTTTCATCATAAGGTACCGGTTATAATATTGGGGAAGAAACAAGTGCGCTTCAAAAGCATCTGCTGTGTTTAGT